AAAAAGGCCTGTGGGCCAAAAATGGATAAAAAAACTACCCCCCTGGTAAAAGGGGGGGGGGCTCTTCCCACCCCCCCCCCCCCCCCCCAAATACGGACCTGTCGCGCGCTGCCGGGCCTTTCATTTTTTGGCAGTTCTTTGCGTTTATGATCCATGGAAATGTCCAAGATCAAATGAAAACATTCTCTTGATTGTATTAAAAGACATCTTTTAGTTAACAATACCTGGCTTTTGATGTTTTTCAGGACTTAGCAGCGAATTACTGACACAATGTGCTTTAAGATACAAAATTTGATCGCATAAGGAAAGTTCCACTAAAATGCAAAAAGAGAGAAAATCGTATAAAAGCGTTTAATGCATTTTCGTAGTTGGTCTACTGGCTGTAAGAAAGGTCGACCAGGTATAATGACAGGCAGGCTGCAAGTTGCCCAGTTGCTACGAGTCAAACGTTCTAACACCCGTACCTTTTGTCTCTAAATGACCGTCTTGTAAGATAAGCCTTAGTGGATAAAAATCTGACTTTGGATGATATATTAAGCTAATTTTCCTCATTACCTTAACCGATTAGACGCTGTTCTTACAATATCTTTTGCTTGGCAAAGGACACGTGTGTTATATCTTTGACTTCTTTTTCTTTTCCACATTCCTCTGTCTTTTTAATTTCGCTTTATTTACATAACAGTAATTTTGTGTTGTAAGCACATGATTGTATAAAAACAATTTAATAGCTTCTCGTAATAAATAAAACCACCTGCCGCCCTTTCAGTCGTTTTTTCCCTAGTGCATGTCAGCACACACAGGCCAGAATTCTGTTAATAAAACTTGAGTCACTGCGGGAAATTTCAAAGTAATAGATTATAAGATTTAAGGGTACAGCTACTGCATTGCGCTTAATTTTAAAATGTTACAATTTCAGCGCGTAAGCAACTAATGTGAAGTTGTTTTAAGTTAGTAATTGGAAGGAATTATTAATGTCGCACTCGCGTTTAACTTCTTTATATTTTTTTGTTGATAAGAAATATTTCCGTCTGGGTTGGTTGCCTTAAGACTATAAAATCTTAGCAGTGAGTAAAGCAGCCTTTACCCACCGTGACATATATAACTATATATAGCGGGCACGGAAAACATCCATGTGCACAATGCCTAGTACGCATGCTATTTGCTTTCTTCATAAAACAAGTATATTCGAAACAAATATTTTCAGACTTATATGAAACTTTCGCCTCTATGTTTAATAATGAGGCATATCTTTAAAAATTATGTGCCCCTTACAATGGACCAAAACAAGCATTCACATCAAACAATTAACTGTGAGTATTCGGCGTATTCACTCCAGGTATTTATGCACGAAATTCACATCTAGCTTAGCTTGTCTGTATGTATTCTGCGTGCATTTAAACGCATTTATTCCGTATATTTATGAGAAATGCACATCTATTGGCGACTTACCTTTGTCGACATTGAGCTTCACGACCCCCCTTTAACTTACGTTGTCTAAAGAGAGCAATATTTCGATAGTACCCAACACGTGTAGCCTTACGCCACATCTCTGTGTCGGCAGTAATGACTTTATCGATGGAAAAGATCTGACTTAATTATTCTGTCTTTATGGAATGTTCTCATTTCTATTAACACCAAAAGTCTGTGAGCATTCTCTGTCGATGAAACTAGCATTTATGTGATGTTATCTAAAATTATTCAAAAATTGGAAATAGCAATTAGAGTTCTCGAGTTATGAGATGAGAAAAAATTAATGCTGCAGGTTTTTCGATCGTAGACAAACGTGGCCTGTGGAAATTTTTCAAAGAAAATGGTTATTTGCGCCCGGGCAAGCATGATCTTAATTTGACGAACATTTATTTGGAATTTTCCCGGGAAAATAAGCAATTTTGTAGTTCTTGCGACTCATTTACCTTTCCCTTTAACTTTGAGTTTAATTTATAAAGGTTGATTTACATGTAGTTCAAAATGACTGTCAAGTCATTATAACAATCGACTATCTGCCTTAACTATGAAATATCAACATCAGGTAGGCTCCAGAAAAAAAAAAGCTTTAAATCGTTTTTAAGATGTATGTAAGGTTTTATTCTAATCTGTGGATGGCAAAAAAATTAGCATTTGGGGGAAATTTCAAATCCATGGAGTGTATACCTTTACTCCTATCATACCCGAGCTGTAGTGTGATATGCACCTGTACATACTCGTACCTGCACATGCACGCTTTATACGTAAGTGCGGTATGGGACAGATAACAGTATCTATCAACAAAATCATCACGATCTCCCCGGCCGCCCCCTGTGGCGCTAGAGTAAGGGTGTTGTGAAAAGCTGCATATTTAATAGGTAGGTTAGTAGAAGTACTACATGCATACCTGGCCGACTTCATCATACTGAATGACGTTGCGGTATTACAGGTATGTTTAACAGTGGAATGCCACTAGACGGTGTGACGAGATGAGACCTTTTTCATCTTTTCCGGAAATGGAAATTGCATTGTGGGTAGGGGAGCCCTGCTATGTCGAAACACTTACAGCGGTGCTAAAAACCATGGCTGAGTTAACGTGCTTTTTGTCCCGCTGCTACAATAACAGTAAGCGAGATCGACACATGAGGTTTAATAAGTTCCCAACAAACCCGTTAGAATGAAAAATATGGTAGAAAGAAAGGAAAATATAGCAGGTTTGGATCAAAAGCAGGGCACCGCGTTTGCGCTGAACATTTCGAAGGCGAGAAGAAAAACTATAATATTAGGAGATCAACGGCGCTTTAATAACAGTAATGCTTAGTAAATCAACGGACATAAGGAACTATCGGCAAATAGAACTCGGGGGCAAACAATGCGAGAAAAAAAACATAAAGATCTGAAGAAAAAATTGAAGAATAGGCCGGGGCCTAGAATAAAGAAAAGCCTTTAAGCATGAGATTATGGAAAAAGAAAGTAAAAGTTGTGAAGTTTTACACGGGGATTCTACTTACAAATAATTCAAGAACTTTCACGACTTTTTGTGTAACAACAAAGAGAAGGTTTGAAAAGGTTTGTATGTAATACCCTTCTTGTGTGTGTTTTATTGATAAGTGATCATTTTAAATGTAGTAGGCCTATCACAGGTTTTAGTCTCTTATAACCCTTAGTAGGGTTCTATTTTTTTTAACGTGAGACGTTAATAAATTTTTTATAACTATGTATCCAGTCCCGTATACGTATTACTGATTTTTACAAACGGGGCTCATATTATCAAGATCAACAGATACATACGAAGAAGAAAGTACATCGGCTCTTGTTAAACGCGTTGTCAGCAAAATAAAAAGTTATTTATTTCTGAACTCAATGACAAGAGAATTGGAAAATTCAATGGGCATATATTTACAAAAAAAAAAAAAAAAAAAAAAATGCAGAAAAGCCTTTCTGTAAGTTACACGTACATAATACATGTATGGTAAATACAAAATGGATAATAAAAATAATCTAACAACGTATTTGTAAAGTAATACAAATATGCTTAGTATTAAAGTAGGTCTACGTATATTTAACTGTCTTAGATAGTTGAAAAGTTTGAAATGTGTGGAAAACACTTTATTTGAATGATTTTATTGTCTTTGATTGAAAACGATGAAAATACGCACGAAAACATTTAAAAATCAAATAATTTGGCCTCTTGCAATATTTTTGTTTTTGCCTGACTGTTTTGGTTCAGTTTGACAAAATTTTCATACTTGTCAGACCGAAAGTCTGACATTTTTTACCTGTCGTAAATTATACTTGTTATATACTAGAGTAAGACACGGTAAACTTTAATTATCTTCTGGGAAAGACTCGAGAATTCCTGTCTCACCTATTTAACACTTAAAATTAGGTTTTAATTACAGAGGAAAGGTCGTAGTTGTGGCCGCCCCCCTTACCGAACAATTGAACAAGTAACACCTGATGCCTTATCAGGTACCTAACGATTTAATCAGTTCACCGACGAACGATCTGCGTGTCAGTTTTACCTGTATACACAGTAGGTACGAGTCAAACAATGCAGGGAATCCTTTCATTTTATCACTTCAAAAATCTCTTAAGACATCCTTCAAACAAGACATAAAAATCGTAAAGAATTGACACTGCCTTAAATGAGGTGATATGGCCACAGCTTGCATATATACATGTAATATTGTGAAGACGTAGGCCTACGCACCTGTCCACACTCTTGAAAGCTGTGTACGAGTCTACTGGCTATTTTGATTTTATATATAAAAAATAACGAGTCTCTTTCGCATATCTTTATTATCGGAAGCATTTAAAAGAACTGAAGCTTTAGTTCATCATCACTATTGAAAGTGCAGCCAAAGCTCGGACGCTTAGGGGAAGTCTAGTTGTACAGAGCATCGTATTTAAACTGAGAAAGAAAACATTTAATTGCTTGATTCTCCGTCCTAATAGCTGTTTCTTGCCTACAGTTTAAGCATTTCTGTGCTTCAGCCACCTTTTTAGTTTGACAGAAAGCAGTGCACGCTTCATACGACCTTTTAATATGCGCACCTTGTACATCATCTACATCTAGCATTGCCATGCTGGAAACAGCAGAGGACTACCATGACACCTGTGGCGCGCGGTTCCTGTCATGCGCACTTCGTATTTCCGCAAAAGATGAAAAAGGTTAATACGCACAGTGACACAGCGTCCATCTTCATCTTTACCAAATGTCACTGTAGTGTTGTGTTTATAACCACTGCTAGGAAGAGTGGTTAAATAGAGGCTGTCAAAAGGATGATAAGAATTTGAAACTGCAGACATGGGCAATTTTTTCAGTGAGCACGGTTTACCGGTGTACGGTATAACGTGTTGCCGGCTGCGTGGTAAAAGGTCCACTTTTTCAGAAAAATACCCCCTTTTGAAATTGCTGTCTACAGACCTGACGTCGGATGTTTTTATTATCATTTTGTTTTTACACCGAGATGCAGTTTACACTTGGGTGGTTTTAATTTCCAGTAGCCGTTGTTACCACGAGCAATAGGCACCAAAAGATTATACTGCATGAAGAGATGAGTGAAAATGGGTCCAACAAGTTTCCATTTTAAAAAGCAATAACGCCGATTTGAATGTTGAGTTTTTTTAATTAATTTATTTTTATTATTATTATTTTATTATATTATTATTGTTATCTTATTTATTTATTTATTTATTTATTTATTTATTTATTTATTTATTTATTATTATTATTATTATTTGTATTTTTATTATTATTATTATTATTATTATTATTATTATTATTTTTTTTTTTTTTTGCAAATGGCATTTTTATGCGGTTTACGTGTAGTAAATTTGTTCTGATTTGATTGTTGGATCCAAGTGAGAGTAGCCAGGGAAAAATATCTCCTATAATGTATCTAGTGTGAGTAGTGTGCGACCAGACTGCACGTGTGAGAGCGTTCAACATTAAGCAACCCATCAACAATTTCTGCATTCCCTCTCCATTATAACACCGGCTGCAAATTCCGATAAACCGACTACAAGGAGCCTATTTAAAATGTTCTGAGAGTGTTTTACGGGCGATTAGTCAACAGTCAATATGTTTAAAAAGAACTAAGTTGAAGAAATCTTATCGGCTGCAATTCTCAGCAGTCTTTGGCCCATTGTTTAATTTCCGTGACGTATAAAGTCACACGAAGTCGAAGTCTAAGCCCGCCGCACACAGAACAATTTTTCGCCCGCCGACAAAAGTCGGCCGATCGGTCGTCCTGGATGAGATCAGCGGACACACACGACAAGCTGTGGCAACAAAGCGCCGACTGGTGTGGTGAAAGTGACGTAGTTATTATCTCGTCCGCGAGGTGGGGCGTTGTTTAATTTAATCAGGAAAAGTTTATGTAGGCCTATTTATATTTTATATCTGATATTGTAATGATAAGAGTTAAAATTAAATGTAAGAGTATAACAAGATTACTTTAATTAATTTAATTGAAAAATGAGCAAATTGAAATGCCCAATTTTTCTAAATCAACGCAATACTCATAGACCATAAAAATACGGCCTATAGGATGACAACAGTTTGTCAGTTTAGACAGATTTAGTCGCCTCGATGCAGCGTTACGTCGTTAAATGGTTTATGACGCTGAAAATTAAAAAAAAAAAAAAAAACTAATACTAATAGAAAATTATAGGGCCTTCCATCATACTGAATTGAATTCTGACGTGGGCACGTGATATCAGATGGCGCAACCATTGGCTGAAGATAATGATCAGCGCGACCAATTGTCGTAGGAAAGCGCACACACTACGGTACGATGTTTAAAAATCAAACATGTTTGATTCTCTCCCGACTAGTTGAAAAGTTGGAGCAGCGCAGACAGGCAGATATTTTGTCGTAAGTGTGTCGGCCGACGAAAAATCGTTCTTTGTGCGGCGGGCTTTAAAGACCTACTTTACTTTCTAGACCACTTTATCGTCTGAGGGAAAGTTAACCTTACTAAGAAAACATTTAAAGACAAAATAATGCTTTCTGTTTTAGAGCGCACAGAGCTAGATTCAATCTGAAGTTGACATAAGATAACGTCTCTTTTCACTTATTTTAACCCCGTAATAAATTTCTTTGATTGCAGAATATAAAATGTGCAGCAGCAAATACATATAGTACATTGTGTTGGTAGGACGGAGATGGATTAAGCATGAAAGGCACACAAAGACCAGTATTTATCATGTACAATTACTTTTCATCAAGCATAAAATACAAGTAACAGTATTTGCCTCGAAGAGTCTCAGTTTTAGCCGATTTGAATTCTAAATAAGGCCACAAAATCGCAGCAGAATCGTGCTTGATATTTTATCGTTAGGGATTCTGTAGAAGTAAAAAAAAAAGTGGATGCACGGTGTACTGGCACTGTACTGTGGCTTAGATGGGAGCTTTAATGTTATAGCTATAATAGTATTAATATTCAACTGAAAGGCCGGGGATGGTTTTTTGGAGGGAAGTGCAAAGATTAATACAAGACAACATCAGGTTTAAAAAAAACATAATTGGATATTTATCATTAAAAATAAGGATGTTTCGCAATACTGAGCTAATTGAACCTGTTTCGGTTTATTACTCAAGTGCTTATTTAATTTTTCGTAATGAAAGTATCCAGTACATAACATGATAATTTCAAAAATCAGCAGGGCGTATCTTCATTTCAGTGAATGGAAGCGAGTTGTGGTATCCTCTAAATGTACGATAATTCACACCATCAGCATAAGAGTCATGAGGGCCGTTGTAGTAGTGCCCATTGAGGTTGGTATCATGGCAATTTGTGTACCACCAAGCGCCTTTGAAGATCGCAGCACAGTTTTGAGTATAAACGTCGTTGTCCCGGTCCTTCGTACTGAACGCGGCCCCGTTACCGGACAAGGGACCGCCGGCCGTTCCCGAGTAGTCCCCCAGAGTAAGTGTGTACTTCCCAGCCTCATCGCTGATTTTAAAGAGGGAGGATTTGGAGTAGGCTTCGGTACCGTTACCGTCTCTCAAGTCTACTCTCAAAGCGTACACCCTCTGTCCCGTCAAGCGATGGAGGAACTCGTTGCCTGGAAATAACCAATAGTTAACAATTGTAATAATTGAAATGAATTAAAAATTCACCCAACTTAAAATTTTGACTCGCAAGTATGTATTACATGTATCAGGTCCGTACCGTCGACCATTGATTGTAGTTCAGAATGTATTTTAAACCATGATTAAGAGTTGTCTATCTTGATCACAAAGCCTTACCGAGCCAGTGTTCACCATTGGGGTATCCAAATCCTTCTTTGTATGCCTCCCAGTCACGGAAGAAGTCAACGGAACCATCTTTGCGTCTCTGGAACACCTGGAAATAAGTTAAGTCTCTCGTAAACGCCCGTACTCTTTTGTGCTCACGGGTCGACTGCCAACAATATTTAAATGACGTGTTGCTGATACTACAAAAGTTATGTAAGCAGAAGACAATTAAAGATAAAGCATATATCATAAAAAGTGAAACATTTCATTAACTGCGTGCGCAAGTGTGTGTGTATGAGCAGGCCCGTAGCCAGCAGTTCCAAAAGGGGGGTTCTTTTTCTGAAAAAGTGGACTTTTTTTCCATAAAAACATCATGTACCTAGATCAAATTTTTCCCAGAGTGGACCTTTTCCCAGCAAAAGGGGTGGTTCTTTCGAACCCCCCGAACCCCCCCTGGCTACGGGCCTGATGAGAGAGTGAGAGAGAGATGATTTTTACCGTCCAACCGCCCCCGTCAGTCAGCATGTCACAATACGCCCAAAACCCTCCTTTGTTATCATACGGTCGGAGATAGTAAACGCCGCTCTGATGTACTCCCGACCGATAGATGGAGGCACAGTCTGGATGTGGACAGCAGCAATCTGCGTGAAAATAAGGGATTATTGTCTTATAGTGCAGACAGTTGTGTTTGTTGACACTTTTGTCGTCTACAATATACATTTTAATATGTAATGAAAATATTTAACCCACAGTTTAATTTGCGGGTTTTGTAACATATTCTTCGTGATAGACACGGTAATCAGAATATGATTGCAATTTCACCTCAATCTGGGTCTGTTAGTATTTAATAACAGGTTTACCTTTATTTTGGATCTTGCCCCGTTTCACACACAAAAAAAAAAAAAAAAAAAAAAAAAATGTTGCCTGACTAACAGCGTTGTTACCAACGGAATTAAGTCTGTTTGTTACTTAGAACCTAAAGGCCACTTATACCTCATTTTTTCTTAGCAGCTAGGCGATGAAGCCTAGCCTCTACATGAGGTGCCTAAAGTCCAAGTTAGGCCCTATTCAGAACAGGGGACTAAATAGCCCAAGGATCACACTACAAAGCTTGCCGTCTAATCTGCTAATAGGCACTGAGTAGATATCCCGTGGGAAATATTCAAGTGGGTCGGACATAATTGACCCTTGAACTAGTTAGTCCCCTATTCTGAATTGGGCCTTAGTCAGCAAGCTCAACTAAAACTCGGTGAATGAAAGCAGTCATCGGAAATTTCGACAGTACATACCTTTTTCAAAATATTGTGCTATAACATACCGGCATTTCACTGTTTCAGGTATTTATTGAATTTCCAAATAAAAAAATGCAATATTACCCTTCTGACCCCTACATGTGGATGTCTGATTGGCAGCCTTCCAAGACAAGCTTATGTTTCCCTGTTCATTATTATTATTATTATTAATTTTGTATTTAAGTGAAACTTATCAAAACTTTGAAAACAAACATTGCTTCTATTTTTTTTTTTCATAAACTATTATTCACGACAGAAAGACCCCATGAAACGTCATGTCTTGTGAAAAAAGTTCCGGATTTTTAAGAGGTTCTCGACTTTTGACTAAAGTAAGCACAGTAAGCTACAGGGTTGCCTACAGGGTATTCGATCCATCTAGGTGACTTAGCTCATCCTAATCAACTACGGATTTTAGATGTTTCTTTATGAAACGGGGGCCTGCACTCTTCAAGTGTATTCTGCGTAGTTATTTCATCTTACCTGCTGTTTCAGCTTTTTGACATGTAACTGCCTCTTTCGTCACCGCTACCCAAACCATCATCAGTATCCAAATACACGTTCTCATTTTACGCAGACTTGATGATTATTCCCCTCTGGTAGAAGTAGAATATGGCCGTCGAAGAAGCGCCTAGTCTAGTTGACTCTTTCAAGTCCTGTTGTGGAATGGGTTGTAATGACAAATAATAGAACTGTAAAGCCTCACATCCTGGTAAGTTGGTGTTTAAATCATCAAATGTGTTTATATCTGGTCGGAAACAGAAGGAGGGATGGTTAACCAATTCCATTGTGCTTATCTGTCGTAAAAATTAAATCATCTGAACAAAGGCAGATAAAAAAGAGCCTAAACAACGCTGTGATTTCAAAAAAAATTAAAAAAAGATGACCCACAAAGCTAGCTGTGCAATTTGTGATCGGAAACGGAGCGGCACTAGGACTTCTTGTGCTTATTTATGGCTGACAAGAAAAATAATCCATCTGAGCACAGATAGCTTAGAAATGCCACAAACAACGTTTTTATCAAGAACAAAATAAGAACACTCTAAAGATGTCCAAAATCCTCAGCCGTTCGGACAAGGAAGACGAGGGGGTTTTGCCTAGTTACAGACAGCTTAACTATTCTGGGTCTGTTTTCAAAAAGTACAGTGTAAATGTGTACCCAAATTTGGTCTTGAGACAGCAATCATCAGTTCCAAATGTACGGGGAATTTTGCAATTGTATCCTTGATCATCGTAGAAAAAATGGTCACTGTAAATCCTTGAAATATTCTATCTTCATCAGATTTTAGTCATACCGCTTAGTCATACATTTTGTTTGAACAAAACTGACTCAACCTTTAAATTTCAAAAACTTAGCGATCCAAGAAACTAAAATGTAATTGATTCTTTGACGAAGAAATAAAAAATAAAAACCTTGATGAATATATTAGGGAGCGACGAAAGAAAGAAAAAATAGAGAAATTTAGAAAAAAAGAACGAAAAGAGAGATACTTGAAAGAAAAATATAAAAAATGCACGAAATGAATTTTAAAATAAAGGAAAATGATGGAGAAAGAGAACAAAAAATGAACAATAATGCATACCGGATCAAGACGCATTTTGTTTCGATTATAAAATTGTTTTCGTTTTGTAGGCAATCATTACATTTTAAGACTGAAAATTATTATTTAATTCGTCTGCACGACGTAAAGTAAAAGACAAGGATGTGCTTAATCGAATTACAAACTTTTATTCAGTCTCGTTCACTCTATAAATGTACATTCATTTAAAAGGGTGCCGCATTTTAATCAAGTTGAGTAATTGGATGTTGTTCACTTAAAGACAATCGGTGAAATTTGGGCATATTCTGTACAATCAAAGTAATGTAATCTTTGATACATGTTCACATTGTTGATAACTGCTCGCCACCTAATCAAACACCGCGTGACAGTCACATATCATGAACTTTCTTGGTCAAATTTAGGATATTTCAACGTTTTCATTTTAGATGTCCATTGCTTCATCTTGCCTTCATATCATTTGTAGGTTCATGTATTTTTCCTCCAATTAACTGAATTCCAATCTCCATTCTAGGTCTCCAGCTTCACCTATCCCATCATGGTTCATTCATCAAAATGCGGCATGGTTGGAACAGTCTCATTTCACGGACATCAATACATACGGCTACTATATAAAATTAGCATGTCTATACACCAGTGCACGTAGCGAATAATGGACGATTATACACGTAAAAGGCTCACAGTATTAATGGTTAAGACATTCCCAGCGATAAACACATCGGTACATTCCCTTTTACATACATACATTACATATCACGTAGCTCACACTGTTTTGTAAAACTAAGACGTCTCCTTTCTTAGAGGTCTTATAATTAAGGCTAATTACAGAGGGCTAAAAATATTATTTTAGTAATTATCATAATATAACGTTCTTCTTTTCTTTTCTCTATTATGAATATATATTCATTAGTTAATTGATTACATATTATGTTATCATAAGCTGAGCTTATAATGCTTATAGCGATTTGCCATCTCCACATACTGTACGTACAGTATACTATTTATAATTCTCATAAACTAATAAATGTGTTTAAAATAATTGAGGCGTCTATAAAAATAACCTCAACGAAAGAGCCACGTTTATACAAGAGAATTACTTCACAATTCTTAAAAGTTATACAGCAACTGCAATATAATCAAGGAAACATATACGTTTTTATAAGCGAAATACTTCAAAAACTTATACTAAAACGGCAATAAATCAGGGGAATATTCACATTTATAAAAGTCAAAAAGGTCACACCACAAGTAATAACAACGATATCTTCAGCAATAAACACAACGACATATGAACGGAAGCATACATGGAGATAGCTCACGGTTTTGAAAACTAATACAGCCACAGCAGTAACACCACCCAATATCTGCATTAAAAACATCAAACAGGTCAAACTATTTACAGCTAAAATGACATCTGCAACAAGCAAACGGGAATGTTTTCGTTTATACATGTCACACTAATAAGACGGCTTCCGCAATAAAATCAACGAAATACTAATGCACCTTAAAGTTACATAAGTAGCTTTAAAAAACGTCCACAAAAATAATATCTAGGAATTATCCTCATTTCTACAAATGCAATAGCTCAAACATTTAAATACTACTAAAAACGACAGCAATTTATCAACGAAATATTTAGCTATGTACATACAAATAGCTCACACAGCCTTCAAGTGAACAGAGCATTCACTTTTACCAAGAAGATACATCTTGCTTTTACTCATGTCAAATGTCTCACACTACTTTTAGCTAAGATACCTACAATAAAATCAACAAAAAAGTTTACGCTTATACACGTCAAATGTTATATACCAGTATGTACTTTACTAAGACGCCATCTGCAATAAAGTCAGTAAATATTCATGCTCGCACAAGCTGGATGGTTTATCAAGACACCTAACGAATAGATTTACCGTTTATACACATCAATTGGCTCACACCACTTTTTAACTAATATATCCACAGCATCTTCACGTTTGTATATGACAGAATCCTCGCACTTACTTTAGCTAAGATGCCGCCAGCAATTAATTCAACGTACTACGCAGCTTGTTCACGTCACATGAATCGCAAACCGGTGCACCCACACATGAAACAGCATAAGATAAAAGCCTCTATTGTTAGGTTTGATGATTTCTGTTTCCATATTCCAAAAAGCGTTCAGTCCATCTTTGTCGTAATGCTCCACGAGGTCCATAATGTCGAGGTTTATGTTGCAATACCATCAGTCATCACTTTCCTGGTTAAGTTCAATTATAATATCCAGTTCTGGGCTCAGTTGCGCCTAACTGTCCATCAAGAGATTCGGATTGCCATGCTTATTGACATTTAATAACTTTACTTTAAAGATTTATATACGACACGCGCCATACAGCAAAAGAATTATGCATACGTTAGCAGACATGTCAATCAGCACACATATGTACATACACATCTATGTAAAAATCGTTATATTAATAAGCATTCATATGGACGATTGTGTCTTTTAATATCGTCTGCTTCTTTCCAAATTCAATGAATTCTGCTTTCCCTGTTCCATTTTTTCTACAGAATGTCGCCCTCGACATCCAAGATGTTTCAAAGTGAGATCATCATCCCTCAAACCTGATAAGGACACAGTCAATCCCTTGTACATCCCCGGGAGACTCTCATGGTGTCACCCCCCATTAACATTGATTTTCATCTTCGTAGCCCTTGTGTCTACGGCTTTAATACCCACAAAGGTAATTACAGTGCAAAAACATGTCATGTACTGGTACGTTGACTCTTATCCACACGCTCTCACTTGAAAGCATCTGTTATGAAGGACTCTTCAGGGTGTACTTGGTACATCTGCATTTCCCTGGATAGATAAGGCCCGTAACAGCTCAAATTTTGTGGCAAGTGTTTGATAGTGGGATGTTCCAAGTGTATTCTCCCTCATAGCCAGAGCTCTTCTGAATACATCCACAGCACCGGTTGCATCGCCTACCTTTATCTTTTCATGGCCTATGCCGTGAAGTGCAGATGCGGTACTTTGGTTTTCGCCCAGCACATATTCCATTATACCAAAGGCTTTTTCATATGTGCTGAGGGCCTCTCTATGGTTCCCCTGTGCAGATATACAAAATGCCAGTTCATGTAACGTTTCTGCTGTGTCTTTATGGTTTTCTCCGAGTATCTTCTCCTGCATAGCCAAGGCTCTTCTGAGAGCATCTTCAGCATCCTTTACGTTGCTTAGTGCTATCAATTCATGGCCTATGCAGTGTAGTGTAGACGCTTTACTTTGACTCTCGCCAAGAACTTGTTCCTCTATTTCTAGAGTTCTTTGGAATGTACTTAGAGCCTCTGCATGGTTTCCCTGTGCAGAAATAGCACGTGCTAGCTCATACATTGTTGTTGCTGTATCTTCATGACATTCTCCCTGCACTCTTTTCTTCATTAAGAGGGCTCTCCTGAGGTCAGCCACTGCGTTGTCTAAATCACCCAAATGTATCTTTTCCTGCCCTATGTAGTGAAGTGTAGATGCTGTTTTTTGACTTTCGCCCAGCTCTTTCTCCCATATACGTAGAGCTCTTTGGTATGTGCTGAGGGCCTCTTGGTGGTTTCCCTGCGCAGATAGAGCAGTGGCGAGCATATGTACTGTCACTGCTGTTCTTTCGTCACTCTCTCCCAGTATCTTTTCCTTCATAGCCAGAGCTTCCCTAAGGACACCCACAGCCCCGTCTAAATTGCCCTCCTCTTTTAAATTATGACCAAAATTGTGTAGTAACGTTGCCGTTCTTTCGCTGTAACCTAGTTCTTTCTCCTTTATCGTTTGGGATGGGCTGTGGGCATCTCCGTGGTTGCCCAGTTTGGAAATAGCACGTAACAATTCACTCGCCGTGTCTACTGTCTCTCCGTGCTTTTTTCCCTGTGTCCTAAACTCTATATCCAAAGCCCTTGTGAGAACACCCAGAGCACCAGCTGCATCACCCAACTCTATCATAGCATGACCTATGCCTTTTAGGGCAAGTGCTGTTATTTGACTTTCACCCAGCACTTGTTCCATTATATGTAAAGCTTTCTTGTATGTACTGAGTGCTTCCGCGTGGTTTCCCTGTTTAGATATGCAAAATGCCAGCTCACATATCGTTTCTGCTGTCTCCTGGTGGTATTCCCCCATTATTTTCTCTTTAATAGCCATGGCTCTTCTCAGGAAATCTTCGGCACCGTCTGGACTACCCAGGTCTATCAATTCATGGCCTATG